AGACTGGTCAGCGCGCCCGGCTGTGGGCATGACCACTAAGCACGCCCGGCTGTGGGCACAGTCTGTAAGCTTACACTTCTTCTAACGCCACTTCTTCAAAAAGTCTGGTCAGCCACGTTTTGTTGATAAACTTCTCTTGGTCGGGTTTATAGGTAAGTTTACAAATTATCCTTTATCTCCTTCCTCTCCTAATGAGGCAGCGGGATAAGTGAGAGCTGCTGTGGCGAGCGCTCTGCTCTGCGCAGTGTCTGCGGGAGGAGGTGTCTGGGCCTGTGCTCCCGCCATAAAGAACAACTAAAGAAGCTTTAAATTCTCCGTGCTAACGCAGCGAGGACTGTGGAGCGAACGTTTAGGTTCCAGGGCTGAAGTCGTTTGAAATGTTTTAAAGCTTGGACTTTGTGCTTGCTCCATATTTCTCTTCGCTGGTAGTCAGTTAAGCCGTGTTGTCGGCGTGAGTTACTGCCCGGGGAGGGCGCTCTGCCGTCCCGCCCAGGGCCCACCCTGCGGCCCCCAGTTCTCAGCCCGGCTGCAGGAGCAGGGGCAGCGGGGACAGTGCCAGTGGGACACGCTGTCCTGGTAGATTCAGCACCAAGAGCAGTAGCCACGGGGAAATGGAGAAAGTCGCAGAGCCAAGCCAGGGGAAAAGCCCAGCCAGGGTGCAGGTGCCCACCTGTCCCCAGCGCTGGGCCCGCACCCAGAGGGTCCCGCCATTTCTGGCAGGTTACCGCCTGCTAACAGACCATGTCCGTGTGCCTGTCCCAGAGGTCCGCTCTGGTCACCGGTGGGAGGTCACAACTTCAACCTCTTATTTCCTTCGTGTGAGGAGGACCCTGGAAAGCTCTGCCCACGCGTGCAGCCAGCCGCACACGCCGCGGGCACCCTGAGGCAGGGAGCCCCTCTCCGGAGGCCTGAGGGGCAGCGTGGACCTCGTGGCGGTCTGCCAGGGTCCGGCCGGCTGCAGACCGAGAGCCGGTCACGGCTCCACCATGTGTCACCCACGCTGCCGCCACCACGTGTGTTTGGGGGAGTCACAGCCCGACCAGCACTGGAGCGTGCTTCCCCGGGGCCTGAGGCTTCGAGGCTGAGATATTTTTAGATTTTAAAGAGGCTGTGCGGTTTTTATATTTCAGCTCTGAAATACCTCCCGGAGTGTCTATGCCCTGTCATTTTTAAAATATGTACATAGTAACTTTGCAGTGAGAAGTCTGACTAGTCACACCACGCCGGATAAATGCAGACTGGAAATAGTCAGCCCCTGTCAGGTTTTGCCATAAGTGAAATGTTACACCACATTTAGAGAAAAGAACTGAAACTGTGTGTTCAGCACCTTTTGAGTGTGAGAATTTCATTTTAATGTTGATTACCTATCACATTGGCCTAGGGAACAGACAAGGTTTATGCTTTTGAATTGGCTAATAAAGGACAATTTTAAAAAATGCTTCTGGAGTGCAGCAGTAGTCGAAGTGATGGGAAAGGCGATGTGTCAGACTGACCCAGTGGTGCAATCAGGAGGCGTGTGCTTGCTGCAGGAATGCCCAGGACGCCTCTCCTTGCTGAGAAAGGCTTTAGGGTGGTACATGCGTGCTCGTGTGTGTGTGTGTGTGTGTGTGTGTGTTTACATGTACACAGTATGTACACAATGCATTTATTTCTTATGAACCAACAGAGGGACTAGCAGAAGGCGGTGCTCCTCCTGGTGACTTTGGCGGTGGCTGTGGTAAGTGGGCAGCAGTGACCGTCTGCAAACCGTGGCCCTGCTTCTTGGGAGCGACAGCACTAAGGTCCCGCCCCTAAAAGGCTGTGTTAGTGCCTTACCAAGAGAAACACTTACCACTGAGCATCACAGACTCACTCACTGGTGAGGGTTGACCTGTTTCATGAGGTCTAACCCAGTTTTCCCACCGGCATTGTTAAATGAGCAACATCTGCAAGAGTGGTGCTCCAATGAGTTCCACAGTCGCTTAGTATCCAAACCTGTATCTTTATTCCTGGATTTTTTTTATTTTTTTTTATTTTGCTGTTGTTGTTCATCTTACCTGGAGGATATTGTTCCATTGATTGTTTTTTCTTTTCTTTCTTTTTTTAAAATATATTTTATTGATTTTTTTACAGAGAGGAAGGGAGAGAGATAGAGTTAGAAACATTGATCGACCAGCTGTCTCCTGCACACCCCCCACTGGGGATGTGCCTGCAACCAAAGTACATGCCCTTGACTGGAATCGAACCTGGGACCCTTGAGTTCACAGGCTGACACTCTATCCACTGAGCCAAATCGGTTTCGGCTGCTTTTTCTTTTCTTTTAGAGAGTGTGAGAGAGGGAGAGGGAAGGAGAAAAAGAGGGAGAGAGAGAGAGAGAGAGAGAGAGAGAGAGGTATTTATCGGATGTCGTTTTTAAACATTCGTTTAAAATCTTGCTTGGCGTTGACTTGTATTGACATAACCTTCAAACACGTGGTATCTACAGAACGTGTGAAGTGCAATTAACAAGTTTTGCTTGAAAAAGTTTGTGTTTGGTTTGGTTTTTTGTTGCAAAACTAGGGCTAAGAAGATGGCGGATGAAGAGCATATTCGGCACTGCATGCTTTACAAGTTCCAATTAGGAAGAAAAGCAAGTGAGGCTGCAAAAAACATCTGTAGTGCTCTTGGTCAAGATGCAGTTAGCGCCAGAAAATGCCAGCGTTGGTTTGAGAAATTTCGCAAGGGAAATTTTTCGTTAGATGACAAGAGTGGTCGAGGCCGTGTGTCCAATTTTGATCAAGAAGCTCTTCAAGCTCTTTTGGTGCAAAATCCTCAAATTACCCAACAAGAGCTTGCGACAACTTTAAATTGTTCACAAAAAACAATTTCCAATCAATTGCGTGCACTTGGCAAAGTCCAAAAGTTTGGAAAATGGGTTCCTCATGAGTTGACCGACAACAACCGTAATCAAAGAGTCACAATTTGCAGTTCGCTCCTCTCTCATCAAAACCGTTTGCCGTTTTTAGAGCAAATTGTTACCGGAGATGAAGAATGGGTGCTGTATGTTAATTTGAAAAGGCGGCCTCAATGGTTGGACAAAAATGAGGCTCCGCAGCCCACGCCAAAACCTGACTTGCATGCGAAAAAAGTGATGTTGTGTGTTTGGTGCAATTTTAAAGGAATTCTTCATTATGAACTTTTACGATCTAACCAAACCATTACAAGTGCAGTGTATAGTGCCCAATTGGAAAGGTTAGCCCAAGCTTTAAGAGAAAAAGAACCCGCGCTGATTAATCGGAAGGGCGTAATTCTTCACCACGATAACGCACGACCGCATACTGCAAGAATCACTGCTGAAAAACTGCGCCAGTTGGAATGGGAAGTTCTCCCTCAACCTGCATATTCTCCTGATATTGCCCCTTCCGATTACCATTTGTTTCATTCTTTGCAAAACTTTCTTCTTGGAAAAAAATTTAATAATGAAGAATGCCTCAAAAATGCATTGACCGAATTTTTTGCATCAAATCACAAGAATTTTACAACAGAGGGATTAAAATGCTTCCTGAGCATTGGGCACAAGTAGTAGAAAACAACGGCAACTATATTGTTGATTAAGTTTTGTTGTATTGTTTAAATAAATTCAATTTAAAAAAGTATTAGAAAACGACATTAATTATTACTAGACCTAATAATAGACAGGCTAGTAATTTCTGTTTGAGTTTTATCACATCACATGACTGAGGGAGCTCCCGCCGGTCTGTGCCGCTCACACTGAATCGGCGAACACTCCTCGCCAGGCCTATGGCTTAAGGGCAAATACCTTCCGTAGGCCACGTGGCCCCCAGCGGGGGGTGAGGGGGACGCCCCCGGTGAGCTGTTTGTAGAGGCCGTGTGTCCTCACAGACAGTGGAGTTCCGTGGAGGAACTGTCCCGGAAGATGCAGAGCTGGACAGGACCCACACTTGGGGAGCGAAGGGGAGCAGAGTTGCACAGACATGGAAAGAACAGGAGGAAGACATGAGGAAACGTAAATAGAAAATCTTGGTTGCGAAGGGGGGGTATTATCCATCCAAAGACCGTGACTTCTGTGAAAAGCTGAGAGGAAGGGTGTGCCCACCCTTGTGGCTCCGCGGGCTGGGTGCCACTCTGACAGTTGCCAGTGGGATTCCCTGTCAGGGCACGTGCCCGGGTTCCGGGCTTGATCTCTCGTAGGGGGCGTGCAAGAAAGAGGCAGCCGATCGATGTTACTCTCACACACCAATGTTTCTCTCTTCTCCCTTCCTGTGTCTCCAAAAATCAATAAACTATTTTTAAAAAATAAAAATAGAGTAAAATTAAATGAAAAAGGAGTGTGTGCGGAACAAGAGTAGGGAAATGAATGAACAAAGTGAGAGGTACAATTCCAACATCCCAGCTGCCGCCGTGGGGGTGGGGCCGGCCCCCCCAGGATTCTGGGGTGCTGGAGAGCAGGACAGGTGTGGGGCCTGCAAGTGAGCTGGGCAAGTCACGCTCTGCTCCTTGTGGGTCACGTTAGCGTGCATGCCTGAGAGCAGGGTCCTTCCGCCGGCCTTCCCCTTGCTGCTCACACGCCAAAGGTGTGGAGACGCCATGAGAAAAACAGAAGCACTGGGTCACCCCTGGCTTCGCCTGCGATTGTGTGGCTCTAGGCCAGTCAATCCACGGCTCCAGGTATCCCTCTCCTCATCACGCTACCTCAGGCTTCCTCCTGCGTCCGCATGGGGTTCGCCCGTGAGACGCACTTCTGTGTGAGGGCCTGGCTCCACGGGCACAGGAGCGGGAGAAGGGAAGCTTCAGACCCTGGCCTCGCAGAGGGCATCCCTGACTGCCGCCCACTGTCATCGTTCCCCTGCGAGGTCTGGTGCTGATTATTTCTAACTCCGACCCAATGAGGAGCCCTCCTCCTGCCCGATTCCCTAACATTTAAGGAATTTGTGTGGGCTGCGATCGCTTCCTGTGGAGATGTATAGACGGGAAGCGCCGGCCGCCTGCCGTGTCTTTGATGGTATTTCTTTTTCTCACAGGAGTTTTTCTTCAAATGTTCGGCACACCCGACCTCTGACGGGGAAACCTCGGTAGCTCTGAACCTCATCACCACCAACAGCCGGGACATCCCCTGCATCACGTGCACCGACATCAGGTGAGTCCTGGGGCCACGTCTCAGCAGCTCCCCGCTTTCCCCGAGCACGGCCTTCCCAGGGTTTCTCCCGAGGAGAGGCTGCCTCACTGACACTGTCCACCTTGCTGGGGGATATGTTATGGAGAGACTTCAATGCCAAATCCTGGCATTGTACAGCTTGCTCAGTAGGCAAGTAGGATCCTAGGATATAAGTGAGATGACTTCTATCTTAAAACAGACCCAGGTGTAGAGTTGTCATGGATTCATGAATAAGATGTTGTCATGGATTCATGCATGGTGATGTTATTGTGGACTCATGATAGGGATATTATCATGGTCTCATGCACAAGATGCTGTCATGGATTCATACATGGTGATGTTGTCATGGACTCATGCATGGGGATATTGTCTTGGATTTATGCACAGTATGTTACCATGGACTCATGATAGGGATGTTGTCATGGACTCATGAATTTGGATGTTGTCATGGATTCATGCATAGGATGTTGTCATGGACTTCTGATAGGGATGTTGAAATGGATTCATGCATAGGATATTGTCATGGACTTCTGATAGGGATGTTGAAATAGATTCATGTGTAGGGATGCTGTCATGGACTCATGCAAAGGATGTTGTTATGGATTCATGATAGGGATGCTGACATGGACTCATGAATAGGATGTTGTCATGGATTCATGTGTAGGGATGCTGTCATGAACCCATGCATAGGATGTTGTCATGGACCCATGCATAGGATGTTGTCATGGACCCATGCTTGGGGATGACATTAATCCCTGCATGAGCACACCCCAATACTCTACATTGTGTTTTGCTAATGATGTTTGGGTTTTTTTTTTCCCCAGCTTATGCTTTATATTTTAATTTAGAAATAATTTACTCACAATAAATTTCTTAACTGTTAGAAAAATTTATCCATATGGTTAGTAAGATTTTAGTTTAATTCTTTCCAGTATCCTGAGAAGCCTGGGTATTTGCTTGTACATATGGGTTGTGTGTATGTGAATGTATAGACACGTAATGTAATCAATCATGTTATATATGTAGTTTTGTATCTGCCTTTTCCATTTAACATGGTACCATGATAAATTTTCCTGCAATGAAATATTTTATGAAAACAAGAAGCGTGTTTTTAATAAGCACCTAAGATTCCATCACATGGGAATACTCTATTTACTCCTCTCCCCATTGCTAGTAATTTAGACTATTTTTTTTAATGTACATGTTAGATGAAGTAAGACTGAAGTCCAGGTCCTCTCCTGTGCTTCGAATGCAAAGGCACAGCCATAGACATTGGCCTCTGGTTCCCGTGAAACCCAAGGACTGAGGTGGGAGGCCTGCCAGGCTCTGACGGCTCTAAGGGTGGGAGCCGCGCTCAGTCAGAGCTTTAAAGCGATCGTGTCGCCAGGACCGGTTTGGCTCAGTGGCAGAGCGTCGGCCTGCGGACTGAAAGGTCCCGGGTTCAATTCTGGTCAAGGGCATGTACCTTGGTTGCGGGCACATCCCCAGTGGAGGGTGTGCAAGAGGCAGCTGGTCGGTGTTTCTCAACGACGTTTCTAACTCTCTGTCCCTCTCAATTCCTCTGTGTAAAATCAATAAAAATACATTTTAAAGCGATCGTGTCGTTTGAGAGAACACTTGCTTGTGAGTCCCGTCTGCTAGCAGGTGCAGGAGTAACAGGAGGTTTTCAGGGCTCCTGCCATCCAGACCATGCCCTGGTGCTGGTTAACACGAGAAAACATGTGAAAGACAGGAGTGCCATGCATTGCCAGGTGCTGGCGGGAAATTGCCTTCAGGTGTGAAAGGAAGACACTGGCGGGAAGTGAGACACAAAGACAGCTCGCAGCAGAGGGAGCGAGAAGCACAGAGCCCCCTGTCCGTGTGCTCTGCCAGCTACCGGCTGCCCGGAGGGCGAGGCCCGCTGATGGCGTGCAGGTGTCATCGAGGCTGCAGGCCCCTGGTGTCTCTGCAGCAGAGGATTCAGATCAGTTTCCAACTGAGTTAAAGCGATTCCGCTTCATGCGATGCAGCAAGCAGCAAACAGATTGTTTTCAGATGGAACACTTCCTTCTTAAAAACCCTCCTGGATTTAACAGGATTTCCAAACCTGAATAAAATAAAGTCAATTTATCAGCAATCAGTGAGCCTTAAGGCGATATTAGGAATAAGGAGGAGGTGAAGGCGGTGTCAGGAATAAGGAGATTAGGGGATGTTAGGAACAGGGAGGGAGTCAGATTTCTGCATAGAACTCCTAGGATCCAGGCTCAGTACCTTGTGCAGAGAGAAGGGCTGTTTTACCCACATGGAGGCTTTGGAATGTGAGCTGGCGTCAGGGGGCGGCCTTCCTTCCCCGGAGTCACCCGGATCTCAGGTCTGAGCAGCGGCACCGCCGGGCTCCCCGGAGACATTGCGGGAGCCTCGGCAGAAGCTCACACGCTCACCTCTTCCTTCAGCGGCTTCCAGAACGCACAGTGCTGTTTGCAGCCAAGTCAGCCACCGGCTCAGGAACCCAAATGCAAGCAGAGGGTTTACTGGAGATTCTGTTTCTCGTGAACTTGGCAAATTCCGAACTCAAAGAACACAGCCGAGGACCCTGCTCCTGAGGTGCAACGGGACTGACACCCGAGCATTCTGGGTCCCGGCAGATCGGCCCGCACTTGGAGGTACTGACTGTGCGGCCCTGACAGCGCTCACGCCCTCACACCACACGCTCACGTGCAGAAGTTCCTGCGCGGGGACCCGCCTCTGACATCAGTGCCGTGGCCTGGCCAGTTTCCCCAGCGACTGCGGTCTTTAGCATAAGGTGACCAGATGTCCCACTTGTGAACAATTTGTCCTGCGTCCCGCGGTGTTTTAAAATCCGGACTGTTTTAAAACGCTGCAGGACAAATTGTTAAAAATTGGGACGTCTGGTCACCTTACTTTAGAACCAGTGTCATCAGAGATACTTAAAAAGTCAACCTGCCAAAACAGGTGTGGCTCAGTGGATAGACCGTCGGCCTGCAGACTGACGGGCCCTGGGTTCGATTCCGGTCAAGGGCATGTACCTTGGTTGCGGGCACATCCCCAGTGGGAGGTGTGCAGGAGGCAGCTCATCGATGATTCTCTCTCATCTATGTTTCTAACTCTCTATCCCTCCTCTCCCTTCCTCTCTGTAAAAAAATCAATAAAATATATTTTAAGAAATAAATCAAAATAAAAAGTCAGCCAATCTTTCCTGGGCAATGTGCTCAGTGGTTAGAACATTGGCCCCCACACAGCAGGGCCTTGGGGTTGATTCTCTGTCAAGGGCACATACTTGGGTTGCAGGCTCAATCCCCTGCCCCAGGGTGCGTGTGGGAGGCAACCAATCATTGTGTCTCTCTCCCATTGATGTCTCTCTCCCTCTCTCTCTCTCTCTCTCTCTCTCTCTCTCTCTCTCTCTCTCTCTCTCTCTCTCTCTCTCTCCTTCTCACCCCCATCTACTTTCTCTAAAAATCAATGGGAAAAATATCCTCAGGTGAGGATTACAACAACAAAGCCAACCACCTGCTCACTCAGCATGTGTGTGTTGAGCTGATGTGGCTCTGGAGGTGTCGCAGGTGCTTTGGGCTGTGAAGAGCACTGCTTACAGCCGCAGGGAGGGCAGATGCCAGCTGTGCCCCCCAGCAGTCGAGCGTGTGGTGGGAAAGGATGGGGCAGGGCCAGGGGAAGGCTCCTCCCAGTGCCCCCTCAGCGGGGGGGCTCTGCGCCTGGGCAAGACCGTGTGGAAAGTGGACAGAGAATGGCCTCCATGCAGTGCGCTAAGCAGGCATGTGCCAGCTGGCCCACCCGCTGTTCTGTACATGCGGCTGGCAGTGCCGATACCTGTTCTGTGGACGCACCTTCTCCTCGACATCACTCAGCAAAGGCCAGACTTACCTTGACCCCAGAGCCAGACTCTGGTGGTCCCGTCAGTGCTAGTCTTCACATCTGGTTTCTCCCCCTCAGCCATTTTGTTCAAAATGCATTTTCCTATTTTCTTTCTTTATAGTAAAGACATGCACTTGCCTGTGAGCTTCTTGGAAGTTGCCATGTAACTCGCCGTTTCTCTGTAGATCATGATTCTATAACTGAGAATCTCCATCCAGTTTGGATAGTGTTCTCTCTTCTGACTGCTTTGTAAGTTAAATGAGTGACTATTCCTGACAGAATATTATCCCAAGCACTATTTTTGCTTCACTCAGAGCAACTTCCTTTGACAAACATTTTTACAACACGGAAAGCCCTCGTCAAATAAGTTATTTTTATGTATACATATTTTGGAACTTCCACCATTTCGAGGCAACAAAATCAGAAGTTTTCTCCATCTTGTGGTGTGAATATAAATTTATCTAATTAAAAATAGAACTTGCATTGAAAGATTCTTTCTATGAATTGAAATATTCCAAAAGTTAAATTATGGATTTCAGAATGAAACTTGTATGTCATTTGATTTCTCCTCATTGAATGGAGTCAGATCCGCCTTCACTTTTTAGGGATTAACCCAGTTTCTTCTTGGTGACCTTTCCTGGTGAGTTATACTTACTTAAAGCTTCAGAAGCTGGGGCCTTATTTGCCAAAACATTGCTAACTGATTTTGAGCAAATTTAGAAGATTCTCATAAAATAATTAATACAATTGTAGTGTAGAGGAGAAAAAAAAAATTGTTTCCTGTACTCTCCTCGGTTCTCCCGCTGAAATTCTGACAAAAGACAGATTAACAAAAACAAAATAAGCAGAAATTTACTAACTAGAGCAGCCCACATATACCGGTACATGGGAGAAGCCAGAGATGGGTAACTCAAAGAGCTGGTTAGAACTTGGGCTTATGGTGGGGGTGGTAGGTTTACAGCTATAGGTACACAAATACAGAGTTTATTCTTATATTACTATTTATCAGTCATTGTGTGATTTTCCATAAAAACAACTGTAAACCTACTTTATACCCATCCTGGATACTTCTTAATCAAAGAACAATCCCTTTCTGGAGAAGTGACAGAAGG